CAAATCCATGCGCTGCTATCCCAGTTACTCATCACGACAGCACACTCATCCTTCCGGACAACAGCCAACCACCAAACACACGACATCGCCCTGCGCCTCCTCGACATACCGCCCTACAGACAGCAGAACGCTGCATACCCCTACGCGACCTCCCCTACATATCGCCATTTCGCCCCAGTTGCTCCCATACGCCGAACAATTCCAACCCTTTTCCAACAAATCAGTGCTCTCACCTTCTCCCACTGCCAACACATACCACTCACATATACATCTACTCAGCTACAAGCATTCCACACCACCCCAACCCATCCAACTACCTGCACAAATGTCCGACCATTCATTGTATGACACATCCCTCCATATACACCGCAAGACGCCACTATCTCCCATAAACCTATCTTCACTGGGACTCACAGTCTCCGGCTGAGCAGACAGCATATCCAAAACACCACACCAATGCGCTGCTCCCTCAAACCCGAGGGCTGTTGTCTGTGTCATGCTGCTCCGCATGTCCCTCGTGCAGGAGGTGGTTATGTTCTCGTAGTTAGTAGCTGCCGGGAGGTAATGCCTGGTTTTATGAGCTATGCTTCAAAGTGTGCGTCTCCAAAATGGTGACGTGGGCGCTTGTTGTGTGTGTGCTGGATCTATGATTCTAAAGACGCCCATGCCAATCCGGTGGCAAATTGTTTGACCGTTTGTGAGACTTAATACCTATCGCGTTTGTTCGTAAACCGGGTGCAGCAGTAGTCTGCGCTTTGCGCAATAGCTTATCAGTAGCAAGCTGTGGTGATTCATAATTTTACACATCTGCTCACTGTCGTAATCGAATGAACTATCTAAAGGGGTAACATATAATCCCTTCACAACGGTGATCGCATGTTGGTTTGGCTACGCCTTTTCCCAAACGCTTGCTGCCGTGCGCTTTTGCTCTTTCATTTATTGCGAACTTTGCATCCCATTTCACCATCAGTTGTTTCAGATGAATGCATGCAGCTGCTGCTGTAAAGCCCTTTACGTACAATTCCAATGCCGTGAGTTGCATCTTAATGCTTGCCATTTTCGCCTTCATAGCCCACAAACCAAGTGTCTATGAGATGGCGATACCACTGCTGACTGCTGAATGGTAGCTTCAGCATTCTAATCAGTACCAACAGTTGAGAATTACATAACTAGTACACCTCTGCAGAAGAAAAGATGCAGGTGTCTGTGCTGCATGTTACACTCAGGCAAGCATTCCAAACGATAGCGCTATTCAGTTTGAAACATATGGTTACGAAACTGTGTTGAAAACACATTTGATGGCAGTCACGGCAAAGGCTAATTAGCGCTCGTGCCTTGGTTCCATGCCGCGATTAGTTTGCTCATTCACGCCATAAATATTATATCGCTTCGATCTCTCGTCACCCGCCCACTGGCAGAACGCATCAAAGGCAGTACCAAAACTAGTCCAATACTGCCATAAAGGATGCCTCTAGGTGAGGAGGCAGTGCACTGCTTTTAGTGGGTGCTGTGTCTGGAAAACACATCTGTTGTCCTCTCCCTTTTCCCTGCAAGGATTTTGAGTCCGGTCCCAACAGGAACCTGCTGAACCACCTCCACGTGCTTGCACTGCCAGGGGGAAAAATAGGCGAAAATTCATATCCGCCCCTTTTCGGTGGGCCCAGCCTGTCGGTAGTCTCGAGACCACCACTATCCTTTGGAGCAAAAGCGATCACGCGCCGTTTATGCTATTAAGGGAGTCGGCGTGCACGGCGTTTGCCCGTGACAGCCCTTGCACCCTCTCTATAATGCAACATGGTGCATCAGACGCCCAGGGCTACCATGCATCCTCTGCCACACTCAAATGAAACACAAGATCACGGAATACGTAGGGAGGAAGAACCTCTTCTGCGCGACTGAGTCTGCAGCCCCCTTGCTGAGTGATAGACCACATCACGCCTCACTGGGAAGAGAAAGAGGAACCTTAATCCGTAGAAACATACAAAAGGCTGTAATTGGTGGCCTCAGGCTGGTCTTCAACAAGGTTTTCGGCAGACAGCTCTACGAACCTGCGCTTAGAAATCGCCCATTCCAGTATGATCAAAAGCATATAGCAGTCGCATCGACGAGGCCATCCTCCTGTGGCGACGCCCCCGACCCTATGGCTGCCAATCCAAGGACTGGCGATCTGTCGAGCAGCCCAAAGAGCCTCATTTTCAACAAAAGAGCAACTATAACTACAACTCTGGCTGTCCCCGAGCCGAAAAAGCCTAGACGCTTGCACACATCCACTGTGCAAAGTCAACGGAGTCGCAAATGAACTTGCACTTTGCAGCCAGGCTTCACACCGAAGTACTGTCAGGTAGTGCAAAAGCCATGCATGTGCCACCCGGCAGCGCGCAACCAGCTTGCACGTACTAAATACATTATGTACAGGACCTGGATGTTCATTTTCCCCTCTTTCATGGCAGATTCTCTACGCATCTCCCGCAGTCCTTGTAGCATTTGTCACGACTTCAAGTCTTACAGAGCTGCCAGTCGAATGCGTGAAACTTCCACCCAAACCGGCCAAGGTGCAGTGCAGACCTAGTGGCGAATCTGTGTTTCACCTGCCATTTACACTCCGCCTGTATACGAATTACTTTAGCTGGCAAAAAGAGGTACACGAGGAGATGCAACAGCTGTCCGCTGTAACACGCCGAAACAGCCACAAACGACAGACCTCAGCCACATCGCGCAATGTAAGCCCTTCAATCAAAAAACGATGTAACAAGTTTCTCCTTCACCGAGCCTTGCATTTTTCGCAAACCCCGATAACACCATTGACTTATTCGCCCCATATCCCACAACAACAAACCAGAACAGCCTTCACGCACATGCAAGTGTCAAGAAGAAGGAAACCGCGTAATCGTTCGCGGGCGAACGTGAGAATGATGTAAGTTGGGCCCCCTTCAGATTTAAAGAAGGCTGTAGAGGAACATGAAATTACTCTCGTTTGCAGCACGGGCTTACACACGTTCCTCAAGCTAGTAGTTCAGCTCTGTGGCGTTGGCAGACGCTCAAAGCCACAAAAACCATGTAAAGCCACCCTTTTGTAAATGACACAGGCAAAAATGAAGCAATTTCCCCTCATCTCTCGGTTGTGATGCTACGTGGCAGACGAAGCGCAAGGACTCTCCCCAGATACGTTTTACGCACTACAGCCCCGAAGACGCAGCAGAAGCAGAAGAATTTGATGCAGCACAATACGAAAAGGCAGTTGTATCTCGCTTGTCGCTACTGCGGAGCAGAACTTTTTAGCGGGTGAGGCAATGCAGCAACAGCAGCTCCGTCTACCTATAGCTTCATGTCCCCAACGCAAGTTCTACAACCCCGTTATCACAGCTAGCTGCCAGTTCAGCAAGATGCAGATGTCCTGAAACGGAAGTAATCCATCTTCCATTAAATGTGCAGTATGCCTTGCACAGCCAGCCCCGGTGTACAGGCCAGTCGCCAAAGCAGGAGCCCAAGCTAACCAGAACGAGATGTGTTTAAGTATCAGCCTGCAACCAACCTCGGTCTTTTGCTGTTCCTCATTCACATGCTCAGCTTACCTCCTGTATTTCGTTTTTAAGGTGTTGTTAAGTCCGAGTGCAATCGCTCCCCGCTCTCCGCCTCCACATGCATCCTGAAGGCACCTGGTTCGGCTACCTTTACCTGCAGCAGCTGCGAGAAATACGCATCTGCTCTCACTGCTCTAATAGTTGTAGCAGCCGTTTTGTAGAGCAGCAAACATCCGCAGACAAGGCAATATCAGCAATTCCCAATTTGGCAGTATCACGCCCTCGCTAATGTTGCAATACTGCAGCAGCTTGCAAGTGCATATTATCGGTTTGCTGAAGGACAGTTGCGGGGGTTGTCAGCCGCAAGCCGGCCAAGAGACCAACTGTAAGCAATGTGTAAGAAGCGGAGCCTCTACCGTGCTTCATCGCATGCTGAGGGGACAGGTTCCGCTGGTCCTTCCCCAAGAAACGTGCGCTGTTGTAGTCACCAAGATACCATGCCCTGGTGCGAAGGACGCTGTTGCTCACTTGCAAGATGTTCTTCACTTCAAAGACCGATTTGCAAACAGCGAAGGGCCCGGTGTCCAAGTCATCAACATTGCGATTGTGTTGCCAACAACCATTGATGATGAGGAAGGCACCTGTAGCCGTAAGTAGCAACGGAAGCAGGGAGCCGAAGGAAGGCCTTTCTGCTACTGCTTGCATGACTTGGAAATGGTCGTACAGTGTCTCGATCTCGAAGTGGCCCTTGCTGCCGGCCGTAACCTGCTCGACACTGGGCGTGCTGCTTGCTGTCACAGACCCTTCCCAGGCAGCCGGTGGGTAGTCTGCTGAATTCACGCCCAAAAAGCCCACAAAAAGGAACGAAAACACAGCAGCAAAAACCATCTTCGGGACCGACACCCACGCCGGGCCTCGGCATTAGAAGGGGACACGAGGTGCACTGGTCATGACAGCAGCAAGCGCTGACTTTTGCGTATCAAACAAAATACAAGCAAAAAGGCTGAAATGCAAACAATTCAATTTGCGAACAATCGCCAGGGGAGATCTCGTGGGGACGTTGACGCCAGTGTCGGCAGCCAGTGGTTTCGGTGTTTCTACAACTCCAGTACCATTGAAATAAGTGGTTTTTTTAATTTCAATTTTTGCTTTTTTAACTCAAAAACTCTCTAGAGCATATATTTAGTCGGCATCTAAGGCCCTGTCATCCGGCGGAGTAACATCCCTGAATTTGTGAGCACGCGGGATCATGTCTTCAGCTACCTTCCTAAAAGGCAACCCACAACAACTTCCAGCGATCTCCAAATACATTCATTAGAGGTTTTCCCACATACACATAACACAGCTGCAGCAGTACAGGGGAGGGATCATTTAACGCCACAAAACCGTTTAATGAGCGTGAATATGCTTTGACGGTTCGGAGATGTATATAATATAAACAACTTATCTTGGACAGCGGAGACGGATCGCCATCTGCATATTGTTGAGCAGGCGCTCAAAGGTAGGGAGCCTTGCTGAGTTCACGCAAGCGCAGTCTCCTCACCCCTTCCAGTGGAGAATGTTCTACAACAAGGCAATTCATACAGGGTGACTTGACATTTTCCTGGCATTCATATTCGATAGGGAAACCTCCGGGGCATTTCTGGAGCTATTCCCCATTCTAGAGTGTTAGTGCCGTCTCTAACAAGCAGAAAACGAGCTAAACTCGCTACTGGTGTCGTCATCATTAGGAGGGAAAATACGACAATGGCGGCTGTACCTAGGTCAGGGCGTTTCTTGTTTGATCACACCTAGACTACGGAAACCTTCCGTTATTCGCTCCGAAGCAGGTTTATTCCTAGGTTGGCAAGAGAGCCTCTTATGGTTGATGAAGGTTTAAGCACGGGAAGGTGCCGATAGAGTCCTCCACTGATAAGTATAAGTCACTGGTGAACATACGTCCAACAGGAAGTTCGGAAAATCTACTTCAGTGGCTCATTGCTGCGCTGTCTCTCAGAGAAGAAATTCGTATCCACCTGGGCCGCTGAAAGGGGATTAGATTAGGAGGTGACACGGTTTACTTCGAAGGGGTAATGGGATATGTAAGCATCAAGACGAGGCGAAACGCCGCATCTGCAAACCCAGATGCTAAAGGAAGAGTGGTTTCTTCTTCGTGCGTACCGACTGCCGATTATGCCTGTAGAAGGGTCCATGTGCAATGGCCGGACAGGTTAGCCAACATCGCACAATGTACAATATTGAATCAGTGGGAGCTGTGGCAGTGTCTGCCCCAGCCAGAAAACGATAAAAGCGGACTCCAGTGACGGCCAGGGAACCGGAACAAAGCATACCCTTGTGCTGTCATGAACGAGGCAACGCATTTCATTGTAACAGACATACATATACAGCAAGAGAACTGTATGAAGTCGTGTTCAACAACTTTCTCTGGCACGCCTGTCACATCTATCTATCAGTGAACAAGAAGGCCTGCTTCATTATTTTTTCGGGTCCTCCACAGAAGCAATTACGAGAACACCTGCACATCAGCCAGAATTCTCTCTGAAATAAGCGCTTTCACGACGAGTCAATGCAGCACATCGGATTTCGTACACCTGATTCTTGTGATTCCAGCTGGTAGAGTGCACTTGCACACCTACACCATTCAGTGCTTCTGCTGGATGTAGCACAAGTGTCCTAAAATGTTCTAACACTCCATAAGAGCTCTGGAGGAAACAGCGGAGCAATGGTACGACGGTAGGGGCGTCAGTAGAAGCTAGTAAGAACCTCGCCTTCACTCCTCAGCCGTCCGGCAAACATTAGCATTGGGAACTGGCAAGGGGAGGGAGGAGAGTGGGTCTGATGAGAGGATCAGCAAAACTTGCTCCAGTTAGTACAGCAATGTAATCCCGCATAACAGCAACAGCCAGTCACCGATGGAAGAATGGCCCGATACCGTAGGCAATTGTTGAACACTGCCTATGCCCGCATGAAATGTTCTGCGAGCAAGAAGGAACACACACACGAACTATAGACGGAGCACCCTGTAGATCTGGGAGACTGGAGTGTTGATACTGTGCGCCAGCAACCCACCGCTCCTAGCTGTTGCCTCCACCTGCTACAACGGCCCAGCTAGAGGCCTGTTACTGAAGGACAGAGCACTATAATATGAATCAATTAAAGTAATTCCTGTGTGGGAGTTGGCTGTTGTGCTATATACGGGAAAACAAATGACTAAAGTCTCCTCACATGCAAACGAGTGAGACCCATCAGAGGGGGGCGGCGACCTCGTTATAAAATAGGGCGGGGCCGCTCCCCTATACGCAGGAGTTAAATCACAAAAGCTATTCGACAGTTGAAACGCATAAAAAGCGATAAGGACGAGTTCTTGCTCCAGAAAGAGTCAAGAAACCCAGCGTGGGACTGCATGCATGCCGGCGCTGCTGAACCAGACAGTGGCCACCGCTGCAGCAGCTGCGTTAGGGGCTAAGCCTACTTCATTTGCAGCAACCATTGGTATGAGGAAGGGCCAGCATCACCGCATACAACACAAGCTGCACCAGCGGGGCTCGAGGCTGCAGCCAACGGCGGGAAGCAACGGCACAGCAGGAACAAGCAACAGCAACCCGACCTGCCCAGACACTCTCCGTTGTTCAGTTGACAAGCGGATCTCGGCAGCTTCTGCAGCAGCAGCAACAGCTGCTGCTGCGGTGGCAGCAGGAGGAGGAACTGCAGCGAACCTAGTAGAACTCAGCTGCATGCCACGCCGAATCCTATGCGGAAAAACAGCGGCAGAGGGTGCGCGCATTGACCTGTGCTGCAGGAGTATCGCCACTAGGAGTACAACCAACAACAGCAGCAGTCTCTCAACATATCCGTTTTATTACTTTAAGAAGGCCGCGGATGTTCATAGTCGTATAACCTGCCACAGCAGCAGCAGCAGCTGCTGCTGCAGTCTGCTGCTGAATCCTTACATACGACTTGCTGCAGCGGCGGGGGAGGCGGCTGGTGAAGACGATGGAGGCTCCTGACAAGCACCTGCAAGAACAGCCGGTGCCAGAGGATACGGAACAGCAACACCAGCAACAGCAGAAGCTGGAGCACCAGAGACAACAGCAGCAGAAAACGTTGCAACAACAACTAACCATACCTGGAACGCAGCCAGTTGAACCATTTTCTGCTGTTTCTACAGCGGGGGGTGTGCATCACCTACGGCAGCAACGGCGAGGGCCGCAGCAGCAGTGCCAGCAGCAAAGTATGCCTCAGCAGCATTCTGACCAGGAAGGGAAAAAGGAAGAGGAGGGGACGCCGCAAAAGCAGCCGCAGGAGTATCAGTCTCCACTTATGATAGAACCAGTAGAAGAGCATGTCTTGAAGTTTATTCCTGGGGCAAGTCGTGAAGCGTCTCAGCAGCAGCAACAGCGAAATTTCATCAAGGAGCAGCTGGAACAGGCGAAGCAGCAGCATGAAGGAAGGCTGCAACGGCACCATATAGCTGATAAGGTGCAACAGCTGCTGCAAACTGCGGTAGCTTCAGAAAGTGCGTCTATGGTAGCGCCGCCGTCTATCGGAGTAGAAGCCGACCACCCAGCAACAGCAGCGAATGCAGCAACAGCAGGTACAACACGCGCAACAGCAGCAGCTCGGAGCCCAGCCCACTCGTCCTCACCACAAACAGCAGCATGCACAACAGAAGTAGAAGCAAACACAGCAGGAGAAGTAACAGAAGGGAGACGGCTGTCCCCAGCACCAACAACTGCTCCACCAGAAACAGCGGCTGCTCCTGCCGCTGCATCGCCACATAACCTGTCGCCTCCTTCACAGAATTCGGTACGTCAGCAACAGCAACACCCGCAGCTTGTTGAAGCAGTAGCAATACCAGCAGCAGCGTCTGCAGCAACAGTAGCTCGTCCACGGGGGCCTGTTGCATGTGCACAGGATAGTTTGTGGCGGCCTCAACCTTCTCCACAGGAGGCTGCGCTGCAGCAACAGCAGCAGCAGCGGGCTCACAAGCCGCCGCCGCAGCAGCAGGAACAGGAACAAGAAGAGCGAGCAGCGCTGCGCGCTGTCTCCTCTCCGCGCGTGGCTAGAGCCAGCAGCCCAAGCGATCCATCGTCATCATCATCAGCATCATTATCAGCTACAACAGCAGCAAACAAGCAACCAGCACACTCTCAGCTGAACTCTGCTTTTGTCCGCTCTCCTGCTGAGAGGCGTCGCCAGCAGCAGCAGCAGCATCGGCATGCTGCGCCGCAGCGGGCGAACCTCTCCCTCGTTGCCCCTGTTCCAAGCAGCAGCAAAGCAGCAGCAGCAAATTCGCTGCTGCTGCAGGGTTGGCTGCAAAAGTGGACTAATCTTTTGTCCTCATGGAGACCGAGGTAATCCTTATTGCTTATCCTTACGTCATTGGCTTCAGCTGTGCCAGCTTGGCATTTTCTGGGCTGACGGTCTAGTGTTCAACTTTTATGGCATAGGGGTGTAGGGTTTGGTACTGCAGGTATTTCTTCGTGTACGCGGGATTCTTCAAATACAGCACTACGAAGACCTCCCCCCCAAAAGAGATGTTCCTCTTAAATCAGTGTCGCATTCGGCTCTGTCCTCGTCAGCCTAGTTCCCAAACCCTAAGCCCCCTCTAAAACGTTGGACTGCACACACCCTATTGCTGCCCCTGATATCCTCCAGAGCTTTCTCACTGAGTTTTTGTCAATAGTTTGCGCACATATTAGTGGTGGGGGTAGTGTATAGCGTTTTTCTTAATGTTTGGCGGTGCTGCAGACGACCCAGTACGCTTTGAGGTGGATGTGATAGATCAGCAGACGCTTTACCTCAGGGCGGACAGTCAAGAGGAGAAGCAAATGTGGTATGTTTGGCGCGGCTAGGGGTTTGGAGCTAGCGTTTAGGCCCTGTGGGTTAGGGCGTAGGGTTTAGGGTTTATGGTCTAAGGTTTAGGGTACGGCGTTTTGTGCGCAGGTACGCAGCCTTCAAGCAGGGCCAACGAGCGGCGCTGAGTGGAACTCACAGAGCAGGCCGCTCTGCAACAGCTGCAGCCGCGGGAGGGAATCAACGAGACAGACACCAGCAGCAGCAGCAGCAGCAGCGGAGGAAAGCCTTCGGGGACACTTCAGCTGCTGCGGGGCCATCTGCAGCCCCAAGCACCACTAGCAGCAGCGTCAAGAGGCCTGATAAGCAGCAGCAGCGCCAACAGTATGAGGCCTCCAGTGCAGCGGCAGACAAGCCAACAGCAACACCGGCAGGAGCGCCGGGAGCAGCAGCGGATGGCGGAGCAGGGGTTTCACCTCCAGCATCTGCCACCAGCAGCAACACCAGCAGCGGTGGCGCCTTGAGCGGATTGGCAGGGGTAGTTGCTTCGAGCGCTGCTGCTGCGGCGGCATTTGCGACGAGCCGCCTTCGTTCCCTTTCTGCTGCTGCAGTGCAGCAGCCGCCACCCCCACCAGCAGCGTTACCACCCCCGCCACCGCTGCAACCCCAGCAGCAGCAGCAGCAAAAGCAACTGCTGCATCAGCAGCTGCAGCAGGAATCGGGAACACTCCGCAGCAGGAGCGATGGAGGTTCTGCGGCGGAAACGACAGCAGACATGGTTGGCGCTGCTGCTTCAACTGCGGCCCCCACGGAAGCACCCGCTGGCAGCAGCAGTAGCAGCAGCAGCCCCCTTCTAGGCGCACAGCTGCTACAGGCCGACAACAGCAGCGAAGCGCTCCTTGAAAATGCTGAGGGGCCTTTAGTTTTGCTGCTGGAGAGCATCATAAACGCACGGCAGAACATACAGGCAACTCCAGACACTAGACCCCTACCCCTCATCATCACGCCCGGCCCTTTTGTTACTTTTTATAGAGGACGTGCCGTCAACGGTTCTTCTCGGGACAAGCCAACTATCGGGCTTAAAGTTACGTGGTAGATTTTGGAGTTTTGTGTGGGATTTATACTTAAAAGTTCAGCGTTCCTAGTTTGCCTGTGTTGCCGCAGGAAGCATGCTCAAAGATGTTGGCCTTGCAGGCGGACCTTCTGAAATCTGTTGCTCAAATTACCCAGACAAGTGACACAAGCTGATGCTGTTGCTGCTGTTGCTGCTGCTGCGGTTGGAGTTGTTGCTTCTGTTGCAGCTGCTGCAACGGAAGTTGTTGCACATGCCGTCTGAACGACAAAGCGGCATACCGGTGCTCATTTTTAGGCACTCCGGGCGCGCTACTCCGTATTGAGGGTTAAGGGTTTAATGTTGAGGGTCATCTGTGGCCTGTAGGCCCCGGTGAGGGAGGCGGCTTGCGGTCGCAAGTGGTGCTGCTACTGCAACGAGTGGACGAGCTGCAGCAGCTGCTGCAACAGCTGTTGCAGCAGTGGGAGCGGCTCCTTAGCGAAGAGTACGCCCAGCGTCGGCAGCTGGAGAAGTCTGTGCGCTCTCTGGCCAAGAGGAACTATAAGCTCGACAAGGTGCAAATCGTCCAGCGTTAAACGAGTGCTTGATGCGCAGCGCCACCATGGACCTGAGCTGTTGTGTTGAGAGTTTACCGCTTAGCGCCTAGGGGCAGAAAGCCGCTCAGGGAACCCATGACCTGTACAGCTCACTGTTGCGAATTTCGGGTTTATCGTTTAGGGGTTACGGTTTAGGGCTTATGGTTTGGAGACAGTGCTTGGGGCGGTTCTTGCAGGCTCAAGAGAGGCTGCTGCAGCTGAGCAGGCAGCGTGGCAAACTCACAGCAGCAGAAGTTGCTGTAGCTATTACTGGGGTGCGGCTGCCGGATATGGAAGGAGACGAGACAGCAACTGCAGCAGCAGCAGCAGCTGCTGCTGCTGCTCAAGAGGGAGCCAGCTTCAGCACCAGCGACAGCGATGATGAGGCGCATGAGTCACTCGAGTTCTTCGACTGCGACGATGAGGTACGGTCGTATCTAGATTTTGTCGTTGAGGACCTAGGATCTGCATGTTGATGACACTGCTACTGCTGCTCCTGTTGATGCTTGTTGCAGCTCGCCGACGATGGCATGGTAGAGTCCTTAGGCCTCCCCGATCCACAGAAACAGCAGCAGCAGCAGCAGGCAGAGTCGCGCGAAGGCGCCTCTGGGGCATCAGCATCAGAGCCGGGCAGCAGGCAGAGTAGTGGCGGCAGCAATAACAACTTTATTGGGCCGGTGTTCTCTCCTGCAGCAAACGCAGCAGCAACACTTGCTGCTGCCTCTCCTCATATCGGGGGGGCGACGCCAGGCCAGCGGCTGGCCCTGCCGAAGCCGCGGACGGAATTCAAAGTAGGTCTAAATCCCAGGCCCTGCGCTGTTGTTGCTGGGACCCATGGGATTCAGGGTTTAATAATTTGGTTAGGGTTTCAGGTTTTAGACTATGTGGCGCAATGTCTAAGGTTAAGCGGACGCAATGTTACTTCACCGTAGTGCGTGCTGGAGGTCTTTGACTCGTTGAAACACATGTTTCGGGTTTAGGCGTTGGGGCTTGTGCACAGGTGAATTTGTGGTCGGTCTTGAAAGACTGCATTGGCCGCGACTTGAGCCGTATTGCGATGCCTGTCTACTTTAATGAGCCAACGAGTTTTCTCCAGAGACAATGCGAGGACTTGCAGTACTGCGAACTCCTAAACCTGGTTAGTCAACGGTTCCAGGTTTAGTGCTTAGGTGTTGGGGTTCAGGGCTGCGGAAATTGAATTTTGGTCTTAGGGTGCAGGTGTAAGCCAAAATGCTGGGGTCTCCGGCATTCACGGACGGGACCTGTGGTGTAGGAAGTAGCGTTGCTTCACAGTTATGCTCTAGGGTTTAAGAGTATAGGGTTTAGGGTTTAGGGTGGGCGGCTTGTTTCGCATGCCAGTCCTGCCGGTTCCCGCGGAGTGTCGATCGGCTTCTGGGGTTGACTCTCTACGCCCTGTCTCCCTACGCGTCAGCTGTTGGCAGGTGACCTTAAACCCAAACCTCGAACCCCTAACCTCATGGATGACGAAAGAGAGGTAGATAACGAGCAAGGAGCTTCTGGTGCTCCTCTTTTGTTGCGCAGTGAGCGCTTTGCTGGCAAGGAACTTGAGTTCAGGGTCTAGGGTTTGCGGGGTTTTCGCAGAACATACAAACCCTTTAACCCACTCCTGGGAGAAACATTCGAGCTCAAACACAAAGGCTTCCGCTTCCTGTCCGAACAGGTAAACCGTACCCTCATCGCGTTCTCTGCTTCTGCTTTTGTTGCTGCTGGCGTCCCTAGTGTTGTTGCTGCTTGAGCATCGACACAGCAGTTTAGTTGGCACTACCAGGCTGCTGCAGCTACTGAAGCCTCAGCAGCATTAGCCGTAACCAGTAGCACCAGCAACTGCTGCAGCAAGAGCAACAGTAAGCGGAGCAACAGCACCAGCAGCACGTGGGTCTGTTCAGGTGGGCCATCATCCCCCTATCACTGCGTACGTGGCGACAGCCTCGGAGTTTTCTTGCGAAGGTTGGGTGACAGTGCGGAATCGGTTTTCGGGGAAATCTCTAGAGGTGCTTGAAACCCTAAAGCTTATACCCTCGCCCTTGCTGTTGGAGATTGTTGGGAATGTTGGACTCTTTGGGGGCAAGTTGCATCAACAACCAATAACACCCCTAATTTACTGCCAGACTCACGGTTTAGGGTGTAGGATCGTAATTGGGGTTTCGGGTTATCGCCTGCAGGTGACTATGCCGGGCGTAGCGCGGGTTAAGCTACATCGCACTGGGGAGCGGTTTTCTTACAAGCGGACCAAGATGTTGATTCACAACGTCATTTGGGGCAAGCTTTGGATTGAAGTGTACGTTAAGAGCTTAGGGATTCCAGTGGCCTAGGTTTTCGGGTTTACAGTTTAGGATTTGGAGCGCCTGCGCTGCAGAGACGGCACGAGCCTCGTTGAAAATGAAACTTCTGGAGACTTCGCGGTGGTACAGTTTCTTAGAAAAGGATGGTAAGGAAACCGTTATTTCTAGAGAGTCGGAGCAGCGCCATAGACAGTAGTAGGCTCCATACATGGTTACGAGGTGCTCATCAAGGGTTTTTTCTATCTAGGGTTTAGGGATCTTGTGCTTCCGAGCTGCTTGTCAAGTCTTTCTTGTATCTAGGGTTTAGCGTTTAGGGTTTTTGGCGCAGGCTTGACAAGACCTGCCATCATCTACGGGCGATCGTCTTCGAAGCTTCTGGGAGACCCGCCTATCGCCTCTCCGGTAGCCTAAGACCCTCAAGCTCACCCACCTGCTTCACGCATACACAGGGCGGTCCCAGGCCAGCGGGGCTGAGCTAGGGGCCAAGCTGGGGGTGTTCACGAGTGTTGTTCATTCAGTGGTCAAACCAACTGGGGTTTAGAGTTTTGGGTCTAGGGTTTAAGGTTTGTGCGTCAGGACAGTGGTCCAGCGCTCTGTATGTCGAGGAGGCTCCTGCATTCCCCGACCACAAGAAATGGAAAATTCCGCCGCAGGTAGGACTTAGTGTCTAGAACTGGATTTCGCAACAGGCGTAGGATTCAGGGTTATGGGTCTGCGCCAACGGTGTGTGATTTAGGGTTCCTGCTCGCGTTCAGGTAGAAGAATACCGCAGAAGCGAAACGGGGCCCCCAGCGGATAGTCCTGACAATCAACTCGACGCGGTTGTCAGCCGTGAGCACTTTGGGTTTGTAGGGATTGCGGGGGGCTGGGGTTTATGGCGTGAAGTTCAACGTTCCGTTTTCAGCATTTTAAACGCTCAACCCATGAGTATTATTTTTGTGGCTCCAGATGACTGATGTTAGGAGCTAGACATTAACACAGTATGAGGGCTAGGGTTGTTGTGTTTGTGGCTTCTTGTTTGTGAGCAGAGTACTGGGAGTCAATTGCTTGGGTGGAGTCCTCTAGGCGCCTTATTTGGCGGCCGACGGCGCGGCCTCCCAACGCTGACCAGTTCTACGGCTTCGGGTTAGCCCTAAATCCGAAATTCTTATCCCTAAGAGCAAACGGCAGTGCTGAATGTTGAGTGTTTGAGAGTTTTGAAGTGCGCACCGATTCTTTGGAAGGCGCATAGTGTGTGGTTAGGCGGTTCTTGTATGTTAGGGAACATTAGGGTTTACGAGGGTTTACGGGGGTGTGTGTGGTCTTCAGCTACTTCACAATGGATCTAAACAATCTCTCCCCTGACTACGCAGCGCATGCAGCCCCAACGGACTCGCGGCGGAGGCCGGACCAACGGCTGTACGAAGCTGGAAGAGTTGATGAGGCGGTTGAACAGAAGAACAGACTGGAAGAGAAACAGAGGCAAATCCTGAATCCTAAACCATGAACCTTAATCAGGCGTTGTAGTGTCTTGATAAACCCTAACTACTCCTTTTAAACCTCCAACCATCATAGACCCCTATAAATCTGACAAGATTCTTATAATCCCTAATATATCCCAAGCGCTGCTACAGGTAGAACGAACACGTACTAGGCAGATGCTGCCTGCATGCTACCTGCAATCTAACTCTTAATGTGGGGTCTAGGGCTTGGGGATCTGCAGGGAGGCTGCGCGGGCGCGACCTCGTGGAGAGTGCGACTATCAACCCTGCTGGTTTGAGCGACAACAGAATTCTGAAGACTGGGTTTACAAGGTAACGCCGAAGCCCTCACAACCAATATACCCTCACTAGCCTTGCCCTAACAACAGGGGTCACAGATGGAACGGAGCGCTTAAAACTACCGACCGATATAATCTATGGCACAACTGTAGCTTCGACTGTTCCGGTTACCCACGCGGTAGGGTTAAGGTTTACACCGCATGATTTGCGTATGTCTTCAGGGAGGGTACTGGGAGGCTCGGGAGGAGGGACAATGGGGTTGCTGTCCGGACATCTTCTAAACCCTGCATACCCTTGTGTTGGCTTATTATATGCTCTTGCTCGAGGTCTGGAATTTACAGCCTATGGTTTAGTGCGAGCGCCTCTTATCTGCGCTAACCTTAGCTGAAGGTACTTTCAGTTGTAGCAGTTCAGCTGATCCATGCTCGGGTGTACGTACACCTGGGCTTACGGGGTCAGCTGCAGGCACACCGCAGCGCGCGCACGGGTGTATCTGCAGTTCAGCGCCCCCTGACACATTAGGGGGCGCATCAGTGTGGCGGGTTTAGGGTCGTCCGTCTGGTGTTTAGGATTAGTAGCGGCGAAATGAGTGCTGAGGGGCTGCATTAGGTGTTTCTTTAGTCCTTCTCCAATGCAGAAGAGATAGGACCTACGAGATGCAACCCCTTCGGTCGAGAGAACACTAAAATGCCTCGGGCACCGCTGTGGGAGCCGCAGCAATCTTCAGTAGCAGTGCTGTGGCTAGCTTTAGCAAGCTGGCGTGAGGCTGGGGCTCTTTGTGCGGCCGCAGCAGCATGAGCAGGAGCAGTTGAATGCTGCTGCTCGGAGTGACTCCACTTACGGGTATGAAGCATTTGTTTTGGAAACAAAGGTGAACATGAAGCCAAATAGGGGAACAGCGGGCGCCCGCATGCACTTCTTGGGTATCTGTAGACCCTATGTATACATGCGTAGTACATGCATTACGAAGGCGTCAGTATAGACGGAGATAAATCCTACTCAGGTGTCAGTGCAGGCTTAAAACTGAAGTTTGGTTCGCTTGTAAACATAAATATGGCGAAAGCACGTGAAGTCAGTGCGGTCAACGACGATTGGGGACTGCCTAAGGGTGCATGGAGACGTATTTGCCAGTACGCTATGAGACAATACACCTGTCGGCGCTCTCACAACCAATTGCGTCATATACGTTAATAGGAGTGGAATTTATTTACCAATTGGAAGGGAATGACATGCCACGTACCCAGTCCAGAGATGCTACAAGATACTACGGCGAAATTCATGCAGTACTCCGTTATGACCTTGTAGATGCGCCAGTTTTGAATATTGAATTCAGCTAATACGCGACGAACAGAAGTGGATACATTTGGTTCTTAGTCACGATAAATAACTATGAGCTACCAGCGCCCCTCTCAACCCCCTCGGCGCTCGAGCACCGTATCTAGCTCAACCCCGAAGCAGCCCTAATCTTTGTTTGATGGTACTGGTGACTCCCACATTGGGAACTGACCGGCAATTACGAGGAGTACTAAGCAATTCCAATCCATCAAGTAGTGCGTCGGGAAACCATCAAGTGTTGACGGAAAAAGCGGAGGGAAGGCAGCGCTTGGGGCGCTGGGGCCCTATGGAACTGTTTTCCCACATATTTGCGTTTCACTACATGCAGCTGTAGTCTTTATATAGGGTCCCGGCAATCGCCTACAGCAACAAAATATACCTGTGGGCTGCAGAATATATTTCCCATTACTGTTCCGCAGCAGCATATAACTTCCCCTACAGTCTCCCGCTTGTGAAAAGAAAAGGGGGTGGGTGGGTG